TGGATCACATTCATTTCCAATATAATGGGTTCATGTTTGGTATCCTTCTCTGGTCAATACTTATGGCTCGTCAAGTCGGTCATCCCTTCTCAATTAGTGCTTTGCTCATCTCTGGCACAGGACAGAAAGCTATTGAGCGGAATACTGTTTGCAGTCTTGCTCAACTTCAAACATATTTATATGTATATTGCGGTAAAGACTGTTTGGTACCCTTGGTCAATCCCTGTTCATATTTATATAGCCTGCGTATTTCGTGTATCTTTTGCGTTCCTACTGTTTTACTCCGAATGGTGAATAGTATTGTGACATCCCAGGGGATTTTACTAATTATGATATCAGGCTCTCTATCATTTGTCAACTTTGCATCTCTGGCGCAAGCGGTTCTAGCTGTATTTGCAGTCTCCTTTGGACCTTTTACTTACATGAGGCAAATCCCACAAGTCCTGTCACGTCTCTTTCCATTCACAAGGGGACTTAACCACGCATATTGGGCGCCCAACGTATGGGCTTTGGTCACCGCCCTCGACCGAGTTCTTTTACTAGGTGAGTTGGCTATTTGACGAATGAAGGTTGCAGACTCATTATATAAAGCTGTCAAGCGATTTGGGTTCGGTCTCGAAGTGAAGCAATCTGGTGTTGAATCTACTTCCAGAGGTCTCGTCGGAGATACGTCCTTCGCGGTTCTACCTAATATCAAGCCGATCCATACCTTTGTGATAACAATCGTATTACAGATGGTCTGCTCAAACTGTACGGTCTGCTCAAGCCCTAACTGTTTTCTCAGGTCTTCCTGGTCAAACTATGGCGTAACCCGACATACAAGTCCTTCGTTACAGCTTTAACACTGTGTGGATATGTCTCTTTTCTATTTGGATGGCATGTACATGAGAAAGCTATCCTACTGGTGTTGGTCCCGCTAACGTTGGTTTTGATTTCTTTTTACACCATTTGATATTAACCTTTTACTAGTCTCATTGCTGGAGACAAGCATAGTTATTTCCGAGTCTTCTCAATTGCAAGTGTAGCGGGTATCTTCTCGCTGTTTCCTCTCTTGTTCACGCCTGCCGGTAACTGATACCTACGAATGATTGATCCATTACTCACAATATTTCAGAAACCCTCATCAAAGTCGTATACTCGTTGGTGTGGTGTCTCTTTATACTCCCACCATTGTCGAAGCAACTATATGAGTATGTGCCTCTCTTCCTACAAAGACCGGTCGCTCATGTGTTTCAGATTTCCGACGTCACTCCCCGGTGTACTCACAGACTATCTGGAGCGAGCATATCTCTACGGTTTCATTCCTCTCCAGGTTTTCACTTCCTTATATCCAGCCCTAATAGGTCGGCTCAGCAAGGATCTAGAGGACGCCTCTCTCTCGAGGTTGGAGTTCTTGCCGCTAATGGTGACTAGTATTTATTGCGCTGTAGGCGTGACATGGGCATTCTTCCGTTTAAGCGTGCTGTATTTGAGGAAGCAGTATTGATTCCACTTCTCCGAGTCGTACATCATAGCAATTATTTATCACTTCTTGACAATGTGCACTACATCTTCGTCCTGCAATTCATGATCGAGGCCCACCTTTTGACCCCGTGCGTGTTTTGCGCTGGTTCCCCATACGATTGCACTAGAGCAAGGAATGAGACTCAGCAAACGATTACATTGGAAGACTCACTATTTGAGCTGCTTCGCAATTTCTTTGTGAATGGCATTGCAAAAGTCTTCGATTGTGGCCTTGCTTTTCTTAAGAACGACCTATGTATGCATGCGTAAGGACAGAATAGAGAAGGAATAGGGATACATACGGGTTGCGTATAGTCAGGAGCTAATCCTCGGGGTTTCGTATATCTAGATGAAAAAAGAAATCAAAACTAACGTGAGCGGGACCAACACCAGTAGGATGGCTTTCTCATGTACATGCCATCCAAATAGAAAAGAGACATATCCACACAATGTTAAAGCTGTAACGAAGGACTTGTATGTCGGGTTACGCCACAGTTTGACCAGGAAGACCTAGAAGAAAGTTAGGGCTTGAGCAGACCCTACAGTTCGAGCTGACCATCTGGAATACAATTGTTATCACAAAGGTATGAATCGGCTTGATATTAGGTAGAACCGCAAAGGACGTATCTCCGACGAGACCTCTGGAAGTAGATTCAATACCAGATTGCTTCACTTCGAGACCGAACCCAAAGCGCTTGACAGCTTTACATAATGAGTTTGCAACCTTCATTCGTCAAATAGCCAACTCACCTAGTAAAAGAACTCGGTCGAGGGCAGTGACCAAAGCCCATACGTTGGGCGCCCAATATGCGTGATTAAGTCCTCTTGTGAATGGGAAGAGACGTGACAGGACTTGTGGGATTTGCCTCATGTAAGCAAAAGGTCCAAAGGAGACTGCAAACACAGTTAGAACCGCTTGCGCCAGAGATGCAAAGTTGACAAATGATATGGAGCCTGATATCATAATTAGTAAAATCCCCTGGGGTGTCACAATACTATTCACCATTCGAAGTAAAACAGTAGGAACGCAAAAGATACACGAAATACGCGGGCTATATAAATATGATCAGGGATTGACCAAGGGTACCAAACAGTATTTACCGCAATATACATATAAATATGCTTGAAGTTGAGCAAGGCTGCAAACAGTATTCCGCTCAATAGCTTTCTGTCCTGTGCCAGAGGTGAGCAAAGCACTAATTGAGAAGGGATCACTGACTTGACGAGCCATAAGTATTGACCAGAGAAGGATACCAAACATGAACCCATTATATTGGAAATGAATGTGATCCA